AAATACAAAAATTATTAACTTTTAAAATATATATACAATTTAATAGTTATAATAAAGAATGATATAAAAATACAATTAATACATGTAACATGACCATAAATAATCAACATATTTATGGTAATTCGAACCTAATTATTTTTTGGTTTAGAATTAAATTAAAATTTACCCAAGCCTAATAACGAAACATGTAATTTTGCCACATAGGATTCCGAAGCACCAGAAGCGGCCACGTAGACTCAACGCGTTCTGTATTAATATATAGGGGGGGATATTTAGTATGACACTTTTTATTTGTGTGATTTACATGTGTTATATTATAATACTTTTTTTAACTTACAACATATAACTACATTGAGCATAAATATATCAATTGAGAAATAATTTTATTTTTCTAATAAATTTTAGTAGATATTATTATTTTTTATTATTATAAAAATATATATATTTTATTTATTTCATATATACAATATGAATGTCAAATCAAAGATCATCAAAAGATGATTAATTTGATATATTATATATGTAAAACCGTTAAGAAATACAAAAAGCTATCAACTTTTAATTACATTTACAATTCAATAGCTAATTGTGAAAGTAAATCAAAATTCAGGGATATATTAGTCACTTAGTGTCTCACTATCTATATCTATATCTATATAATGGATGAATCCTTATTGCCATAATTGACATGATTTTGGGCGGAATTTTTTTTTCGTCTATATTTAGCATTTAATTAATATTTATTTGTTAGCAACTCTTATGAATTAAAAAAAATAATTAATTTTTATACACTCAATGACTATTGCTTATTAACTACAAATTGGATTAAATTAATTTTTTTACAGTAGATTTATTAAATATATTTTTAATAAGATCTTATGATAAATTAATAGAAACTTATTTACACAATACAAAAAATTATTATGGAAATGATTTGATTAAATATTTATTATATATGGCTGTAGGTATTAATTTAATTAGTTATGTTTACTATTCAGAAATACTTAAACTATTTAATAAAATAATTAGAATAACTATGTTTAAATCATTGTAACTTAATGAATAATTTATATTATTAATAAAAGTTTCTAAAATGTAGTCAATTTAACTATAAAAAGGTACATTCCCATCGAATATATCATATGCAGTGATAATACTATTGAAAATTTAAATAATATACAAATAAAAATAAAATTTGATGACCGGGTGCAATTCAAAATATAAATTTCACCTTAGAAGTATCTATGTATATTAAAAAACTATTAAATTTTTTAAAATATTTTTTTTTTTCTTATATACTATTTTATGAATGAAAAATAAGTTAATAAAAAATTAATGTATAATAACTTAAATTATTGCACTTGGTAATTATAAAAATATATAATATATCTTAATATTCGAATAGATACTATGTAACTCATTATATAGGTTGAAAAAATAAATTAACGAAATAAATAAAAATAACAAATGAAAACATAAAAATAAAATATTTAGTCATAAAAAACTGTGTGTTGCATAAGGATTAAAGTTACTAAAAAATAAAATTTGTTTTTTTAAAGTTTTTAACATTTAATGCACTTAATAATTATAATGGAAGTTAAATTTTATGGGTTAAACGTTGGCCAATTATCAAGCAATGTGCACATTATGAATTGTTGAAAAAATTATAGGACTATTATTGATGGATGGATCCGATCAAAAGTTAAAATAAAGATCAATAAAGGATAAACAGAGAAAATGAGAAAGATATACAGAAAAATTAGGTTTTATTAATTTGCATACAATTTAGTATTTGCGGGAATTAATTTTAGAATTCTAGAGAGAGAAAGTAGTAGTTGAAAAATTCAACAACCCTCATAAATGATTCGGGCATTCTATTTATAATGTTCCCAGATTGGGAACTGTTCAGGCACTATTTACTAGCCTGTCGAACAGTACTTCTGCAGGGTAGACCGACGCCGTTCTGACAGTTATTTAATGCGATTTGAGATTTGCTTAATCCTTACCTGTCAGACATTTAATGCACATGGTGGGCATTTAATGCTAACAAGCTTTTTGTGGGACTAGATATCATAGGACGACAGGCTATGGCGGCCTGTCCAATCAGTAATCATCAGCAGCCAAGTGCATTACGATATTATTATCGAGCTCCGCGCTTGTCTTTGAGCAGGTCATGCAGGGCCTCCGGGTCGTCTCTTGAACATTTACTCTCCCGATTCTCGGAAATCTTATCCCCAGCTCGGCAGTTGGCGAGGTCGGCCCCTATACTGGACGGGGGTGCCGACCTCGGGAATGACGTTATTCGACGACCGATTATATTAATCTCATGTTCAGTTCGGCACTTCCTCGATTATCCGGGATTTCAATCCGGGTTCTGAGGTCATCTTTCGATTTACGTTCGGCCAACTCGGATGTCAACAACTGTGATAAACGACAATTTTATAAGTACATACAAATAATTTGTATGCAAATTTCATATTATCTTATACATTTATAATATTTTATAAACTTATATATAATAATATTTATATATTATACAGTCAAAAAACTACAAAAAATATTAAAAAAAATAGAAATTAAAATAATAGTAATTAAATAAATGTCATATTATTACTGAATAAAATATTGTGGGGAATTTATATTATTTAAAATAAAAATATGTTTTGTATTGCACCCCGTGAATCGCACGGGTATCAACACTAGTTACAAATAATTAAAGAGTTATATTGGTAAAAGTGATATTAAAATACCTAAGTTAACTAAATAATATTTATGGAATGTCCGAACCTAGATTTTAATTATTAATATAACAATATTATTTGTCCAAACCTAATTACAAAACATGATTCTTCGCCAAGTAGGATTCCAAAGCACCAGAAGCCGACACGTAAGCTTAACGCATTCAAGAATTATATATAGATAGAGGGGATTTGCCACATAAATAAAATTTATTAAGTTTTATTTATTAGATAAAATTTATTGCTAAGTTAGCAATAATATATAGATCAGCACACTTTATTCTACCTTTTTCAAATTGCTTACTACCCAAGAGCGCTTGGATGAGATGGCTTGGGTCTCTTCCCGCTTAACCAGTGGTCTCGTGTTCGAGCCCTGAGAATGCAGCAGTGTTAAAACTCTTGAGGGAAAGTTTTGCTGCCCTTGTGGTCCTACCCGGCTCGATTCCGGATTAGTCAGTTCTCATGTGGATCCGGAAACCGGAAGGTCCCTGTACCAAA